TAGAAATTTAATAATTTTAAATTTTGAAAATTGAAAAATTAAAACATTGAAAATTAATAATATTTGATTCTTAATTTTCTTTGAACTTTAATTCCTCATTAAATTAAGATGTAAGCAAAGAAGAAAGAATTAATCTTTTCATTTTTACATTTTCACTTTTACCATTTTTCTTTTAAATGTTAAAAGGCAATAACTTAAGTATCTACATACTCTTGATTGTAACTTTGATTTTTACTTCGTTTACTAAGTTGTGTTCTAAGGTATGAGTGCACTGATTTTTATGCATTTTTATTTATTTAATTTAATTATTTTGTTATAATAATTCTATAATTTAAGTATTTTGAGATGTGAAAAAAAGTCAAGTATAATTTTTAAAGATCTGTTTATTTTCACGTTCGTTATAAATAAAGTATCGCACACACTCACTCATTCTCATAACAGTGGATCTACCACTGGTCATCGTTTTTTTTTTTTTTTAATTTATGTTAACTGTGACGGCTCGATGTAATTGAACCATGTTTATAGTGTTTTTTGAAGAATCTAAAACAAACAACTGGTGCGCTAACACTGCAACATTGTTTACATACTTTATTAGCCCTATTTATTTTCTATTTTACACAGCTTACTAAGAACAATTACTGTTTGTAAATTTTTTTTTTAATAAAATGACTTTTAGTATTCACGCAATATGTTTTCATCAGAATAATAACAAGATATTTATTGTTATCTGATTATATTCTAAAAATTCTGATATTTTTTTGGCAGTGTCTGTTCAATTTACAATATCTGAACACGTATGCTATGCACACTTAGCTTTTGCACTGAATGTTTTAATTATTTACTAATTTTCATTACGATGGATTGTATCGTTTTTATTCCTAAAATTGTCACTATTTAAGTTAAACATAGAGCGACAAGTATATTTACAATTAACCATGTCTACCGTTAATGCTTGTATTACGTTTTCTTAAAGAGCTTAGCAGTTAAAACTATGTATACCGGATTAATCTGTTTTTCGTATTTGGTTTTATGTCGCAAAAACTCTACCTCATTCGTACAAAATCTGCACTGTGAACAGACTAAAATATGTAGGCGAAAGTTTTTACGATACAACACACTGCGAAGTTTCGTTTTAAAATATCTACGTTCGAAGAATACATCGTTACGTGATACGATTATTTGCTGTTTTAATGTCTAAGCTCACATCTTTTTAATAAGACTCAACAATTAAAACGACTTCCTTGAAGTCATATCAAAATAAATTCGAAATGAGTCTGAAAAGATGACACTTTTCCATACATTAATAACATTTTCAGTGTGATAGAAAGCAGTCAGTTCCTTACGTTTGAAGTCATGAAGATGGTGTGACACGAACTTAAAAGGTTTCAATGATCCTGATTTTTCATAAATAAAGATGTCGTTTAAGCCTTGACGGATTTCATGAGAAGGTCAGTGCTTAG